GCCCCCATGGTGGCACCTGCCCCCCCGATCCCCCCTCCCCAGGTGTTCCCCATCCCAGTCTCCCCAGAGCCCCCCCCCCCGTGGGGGTTCCACCCCCCATTTCTTTCCCCTTATCCGGCAGCACTTGGAGGGTCACAAACATTTATTGGGGTGTAGCAGACCTGGGGGGATTCCCAAAGTGGGGGGTCATGGACAGGGATCTCCAATAATCTGAGGGGTGCTAGAGTCAAGAAGGGGACCCCACCCTGGGCTGGGACCCTGGGAGGGTTGGTGGGGATCCCGGGGTGGGGGTCCTGTGGAGGGGTCCCAGGGTGTGGGGTCTGTGCGGGGGATACCAAACAAGACTGGGGTGTCAGGATTGGGGTGTCACGTCCCATGGGGACGTCTCTTGGAGGGGGGGCTCTGGGCTGCAAGATCCCCTGGGGCAGGTCCTGGGGGTGTACTCAGGGGGATCCCAGTGTGGGGAGCCCCCACGGGGTGGGGCAGCGTCTCAGCACAATGGTCCCATAGGAGCCCCCAGTAAGATCAGGGGTGTGAGGCTCTCACCCCCCCCAGGCTGGGGGTGCTGAGGGGTGGGTACTGGTGCAGGGTGGGGGTCCCCATTCAGATGCCCCCCCACTCGGGCCCTCGCAGGCGCCGAACCAGCTGCAGGTCCTTGGGGAACAGGGTGACCCTGCGGGCGTGCAGCGAGCACAGGTATGCATCCTCCAGCAGTTTCACGATGAAGGCCTCTGCTGCCTGCACCCCAAAAACATCAGGGGGAGCCCCCAAACCTCCCCGATTTCCCTCAGCCATCCCCAGGAGGCAGCGACCCCCAAATCCCCCAGACACCCTCTCCAAACCCACCCACAGGGGACTGGGGGAAATGAAACACCCTGTGGCCCTAAATGGGTGAGGGGCCCCCCTGTGCCCTGACAGCCCCCCCCCAGCACCCATAGGTGCCCCAGAGATCTTCTAAACATCCATGGTCCCTTACCCCAGCACCCATAGAACCCCTCAGCCCCCCTGAGACCGCCTCACATCCATGGGGACCCTCACAGACTCTCCCCCTCAGCTCCCATGAGACCCCCCTCACCAAACCTTTCAGCTCCCACAGGCCCCATCCAGCCCCCCTCAGCACCCAGAGACCTTCCTGGACCCCTCAGCCCCCAAGGACCTCCCCAGCACCCATAAGACCCTCCCACCCTCATGGGAACCCCCTAGCACCCATGGGACCCCTTCAGCCCCTCTGGGACCCCCCACCCAGTACCCCCAGGTCTCCCACAAGCCCCCATAGGACCCTCCTATTCCCCCCTCAGCTCCCCAGGACCCCCCAGCCCCCCGGGCCCCCCTTGAGCTCCCACAGGACCCCCCCAGCCCCCCGGGCCCCCCCACCTCCTGCAGGGCCAGCAGGGCCAGGCGCTGCCAGCGATAATCGACCCCCCGGGTGAAGAGCAGGCACAGCTCCCGCACCTGGGACGGGGGGGACATGGGGACAGCTCAGGGGACACAGGGACATGGGGGCAACATGGGGACAGCAGGGGACACAGGGACATGGAGGAGATATAGGGACACAGGGACATGGGGGGGACATGGGGACAGCTCAGGGGACACAGGGACATGGGGGCAGCGTGGGGACAGCAGGGGACATGGGGAGTGGGGGGACAGTGGGACAACATGGGGGGGATATGGGGACACCCTGGGCTGGGGCTGCCACCCTGGGGACATCCTGGGACTCCCTGGTTGTCACCCTGGACACACTCTGGGGACACCCCAGGGACAGGGACGCTCTGGGGATATCTTGGGGATGCCCTGGGGAGTGAGGTCACGGGGACATCATGAGGGGGACACCCTGGGGATACCCCAGGCACAGGGACATGGGGACAGCACCCTGAGGACATCCCGGGAGGGGGATCGGGGGACACAGTGACACTTTGGGGGGGTCCCAGTTTGGGTCTGGGGGGTCCCAGAGGATGTTTGGGTGGGTCCCAGGGCAGGTTGGAGGGTTCCAGGTTGGATTTAGGGGGACCCTAGGGGGAATTTGGGTTGGATTTGAAGGGATCCTTGGGATTGTTTGAGGGGTCCCAGGGGGTGCTTGAGGGGGGCCCGGGGAGGATTTGGGGTGTCAGGAGATTTCAGGGTGGACTTAGGGGTCCCAGGGAGTGCTTGGGGAGTCCCAGAGTGGATTTGGGAGGTTCTGAGAGGGGCTGGAGTGTCCCAGCAAGGTCCACGGGGAATTTGGGGGGGTTCTGAGGGGGATTTGGGGGTCCTAGAGGTTGGTTTGGAGGTCCCAGGGTGGTGTTGGGCTTTTGGGGTCATTTTTTTAGGGTCTCACCAGGTAGGCAAAGGGGCCAGGCTGCAGCAGCAGGCAGGTGCCCATGGGTGGGTTTAGAGGTCCCAGAGTGTGTCTGGGGTCAGTTTGGGGGTCCCAGGGTGGGTTTTGGGGTCTCACCAGGAAGGTGAAGGACCCGGGCCACAGCAGCAGGCGGGGGCCCAGGGGTGGGTGTTGGAGGGCAAGGGTTGGTTTGGGGGTCCCAGGGGTTGGTTTGAGGTGCAGGAGTGGGTGTTGGGGTTTGGGGGTCAGTTTTGGGGTCAGTTGGGGGTCTCACCAGCTGTGAGAAGGGCCCAGGCCGCAGCAGCAGGTGGGTGCCCAGCGGTGGGTTTGGAGGTCCCAGGGTGTGTCTGGGGGTCACTTTGGGGGTCCCAGG